AATACTAAGATGTTTTATTATCATTATTATTATTATTATTATTATTATTATTATCATTATTATTATTACAGTAATAACAATTTTCGTCTGAGCCGACTCAGTTAGCCCTTTCGGTTGAGTTTCATAAGGAAATACCGGTGGAACACATGGAACAGGTTTACAGGAAATTCTATCGCCACCATTAGTGACGAGATGAGACTGCGTGTGTTGTTAGTAGCTTTTGACGTTCCGGCAACCATGCTCATTTTGATTGCGAGTCTCTTACCAAGAGAATGAATGATTCCTTTTTACCAAATTTCCGCAACACTCTATGGCCACGTGTTAAAAAATGTCTTCAACATCGCAAATAAAAATTGCAGGCCGTAACACTTCCTTGAGGTCATCCTGTTAATGGCAAATTAAAAATTACTAAGTGGGTAGCAACCAACTTGAGCTGAAATAATTGCTTCCGGCACCTGCTACACTTCCATTAAGAGAATCAGGGAAAACCAAGCTGTTAGACAACGTCTTATTCTAGAAACTTTTCGGTGTCAACTCAACGTGTGGAATAACGATAGACTAAATTTTCGAAAAGCAAAGTTGATGTTCGGTGCTCCCTGTTACTTTATCAAAAGTACACTAGAACCAACCAATTTCCTTTTCACGTATCGAAAGGAAACACTCATAAAGAGTAAGAACTACGTGACCTTCAATGAATTAACTTTTCCCGCACTGACAAAGCCTTCCATCTTCGTTGATATTCATGTATCAATTCTGTATACATCGTCAGAACGAGTGACGAGGGGCTAACGCTCGAAACGTCAGCTTTTTAACTCTTTTCGGTGGCCAATTTACAATTCCAACCTATTTGATATAACCAAATATCATTGTTATTCCCACCTACGCAGCACCCCAGTTTCTTTAGAAACTTACTCCCATTATTCATTTATCAAAAACCCCGTTTACCACATTTTATGCAGTTTCTCTGTTAGTTATCGGTGTAGTCGTCATCCTAATTTCCCCATGCGATCAAATGGGAAAGAAAAATGACCGGTACCTCCTCGTCATCCCTCTTTTTCTCTGCTTTATTTTCTACCAGCGATGGTATATTCAATTTTGTCCTCTTTCGCCTAGAGTGGGACTTTCCATGTCTTTAAGCCTCTGATTACAATATTCTTC